GAATAATAAAAGCAAAAGCAGCATTCGTTAGAATGAGAACCATTTTCAACAGTCGAGACATATCATTAAAAACAAAATGCCGTCTATTGAACTGCTACATATTCACAGTTCTGCTCTACGGAATGGAAGCGTGGACACTGACTGTTGCATCTATGAATCGGCTCGAAGCTTTCGAAATGTGGTATTATAGGCGCATCTTACGTATATCCTGGGTTGAAAGAGTTACTAATGTGGAGGTCCTGCGTAGAATGGGGAAAGAATGTAAAATGCTCATGACCTTCAAACCTAAAAAGTTTGAATATCTACTACATGTAATGAGAAATCAAGAACGTTACGGCCTTCTCCAGCTGATTCTCCAAGGAAAGCTAAATGATAAGAGAGGACCGGGAAGAAGACGCATTTGCTGGCTTCAAAATTTACGAGTGGTATAACACAACTACCACTGAACTGTTCCGCGCTGCAGTAAACAAAGTAAAGATAGCCGTGATGATCGCCAACATCCGAAACGGATAGGCACTTTAAGAAGAAGAATATTAATATACAAGTGAGTATTGTGAGTGAGTTCTATTATAGTGAGGTTAAAGTATCGGTGTTGTTATTCTGATAAGACTTTTATTTATTCTATTATATTATTATTATTATAACTGGTCAACGGTCTCGAGAGCAGAGGATGGCTGGAAAAGTCACAATGGTCGAGAGGGCGGAAGAACCAACAGCGTCTGATCCAGAATGGGCGGCTGAAGAAAAGGTCCTACAAACGGGGGTTGTGGCGTTAGGAATTAACAACCTAACACACAGAAAAATGTAAGGGTAAGAAGAACAAAAATCGCAAGATAAAAAAGCCAAATACGGAAACACACCCCATGGGGCTCCATCTAATAGATGGATAGGGGAGAAAGGCAATGTTGCGAAGAGTTAGGAAAATCCAGTCTTATTAAAGCTCAACCAAAAATCAAAACAAGGAAAAGATAGAACATGCATATGTACAACAGGGAATATACAAGGATAAAACAAAAAGGCGACGGAAGTGATCAAGGAGTTTAGAGAAAGCAACATAGACATACTAGTAACAACAGAAACCAAAAAGAAAGAAAATGGAACAAACAATAGAAAACCATATTCACTGCTGGATCGGACTTAATAAAGAATATAGATAGAGCAAAGGCAGTAGTGGGAATACTAACCAAAAATGAGTGGAAGAACAGGGTTAGAACATGGGAGCCAATCAACGAGAGAATAATTAAAATGCATATGGATATATGTGATACTCGGAGAAACTACTGACAGCAAAAATTGGCATTAATTGGAAACATAACAAAACCGCCTCTACAGAAGAACCGTTGAACACTATAGAAGAAAAACAATACAAATACAATACAATACAATGGAATTTAGATACGAGAACATCGAAGAAATATACGAGCATGTAAAGGCGAATATAAAACAAGCAGCATTCGAAGCCCTTGGAGAAAAAGAACATATAACAAATGAGCAACACTATTATGACATAAATGAACCAACAAAAAGAATAATTGAAGAAAAATGCATCTATACAGATAATGGCTGACTACAAACAACCATGAAGGTTATAAAGAATATAAAGAAAAATATAGAGAAGTGAAAAAACAAATAACAAAACAAAAGAATGGGAAAGAACCTGCTTAAATATTGAAACATAAATAGGAGGTACAAGAACTTCGGAGTCATGGAAAGTACTGAGAGGATTGAAACAAAACTCAAAAGAAAAAATTAAATTGGGAAATATACAGAACAAAGAATGGAAGGATTATTACAAGGAACTGTTAACAGAACAAAGACCACAATTCATTGGAAAAGAAAACGGAGACGAAGCAGATCCCCACAACAAGAAATAGAAATAACAGTTATGGAAATGAGAACTGCCATAAACGCAATCAAAAATCAGAAAGCACCGGAACCTGGAGGCATATCACCTGAACTTATGAAATATGTATCAAAAAAATTACACCGGTTGATACAATGGATATTTCAGAAAGCCATAAATGAAGAACAGCTCCCAAAGGAATGGACGGAGGCATATATGACATCTATATTTAAGAAAGAAGATAGAAGACGATGCGAAAACTACAGAGGAATAAGCGTAATATTATCAATAGGAAGATTATATGGGAAGATACTGCGAGAAAAGATAGAACAAGTGATAAAAGGTAAAATCGGGGAGGATCAGGCAGGCTTCACGGCAGGAAGGTCATGCAGAGACCAAATATATATATACTGGAACAACTGTTGGAAAAGAAAAATTTTAAAAATAGAAATATACATTTGGTATTTATGAACCTAAGAAAGGCGTATGACTCTGTACCAAGGTCAGAACTATGGGAGGCAATGTTCAAATTAGAAATACAGACGGAACTCACAGAAACTATAAAAACTCTGAATAAACAATTTAAGTGTCCATTAAAGTGGAAACAAGAATCATAGGAGACTTCATCACAACAAACGGGCTTCTGTCTGCAGGGTTGCTGAATATCTCCAACCCTATTCAAAATATACTTAGAGAAAGCCTTGAGTACATGGAAAAGAAAGTGCGAAGGCATGGGAGTACCGGTACGAAACGAATTCCTATATACGTTAAGCTTTGCAGATAAGTAGTGATTGCACAAGACCAAGACGACCTCAGCTACAAAGGAAAGGATAAATTCAAATACTTGGGGTTTATAATCACGAAAAAGGCAACAACAGAGGAAGAAATTACAAGAACAGCAATCTACCCGTCTATACAGTTGTAACGAAAAAATGTTTATTTTTTATTAATTTGAATAGTCATAACTGCCAAATTTGAACGCTCTTTAATCAACATCGATAGTAGTGACATCGATGCGCTGTTTCTAAATTTTGGATTGGCTAATAATAATCATAAATTTTGTTTTGCTATAATTTATTTCGAAACCATAAATGGTTGTTACTCTCATTAACTTTATCGACTAAAATTTGAAAATCTGTAAGTTATTAGTATTATAGTGTCGTCAATTTTGTTCCACTAAATTTAAAATACATATTTTTAAAAGAACCGGTAAATTTTATAGCTTACGACCAATAAAGCAGAGGCGGTAATAGTTATTTGTCACACCCAGTACCCCAACATCTTGTCTGTTACATAACCTAACAACGCAAGTAGTTCGATTCAACTCTCATAATATTAGTTCCTCGAAAATTTATTACTACCATCTTCCACAAATGGTCGGCGGTCGTTTATGATGTTGATTTATTTCTCATGTGGTGTTGTTAGACTTCGAGATAATTCAGATCCGATAGATATTTATCGTTTTAATCACCGATTAAGATCTGCAGATATTCCTCTTTTGTTTAAAGATCGGGTATTACAACTTCTAATTGGTTTGCAAAAATGTTTACTATTTCTATCACTATTTTTCAATAGTTATGAAAGAAGGCATGAAAAATTTTTTAAGTAAACGCCAATAGATTTATCTCGTCAAGCAGCATTGTTAAGAAAGAAAAGTTTATTATGGGATTTAAAGGAAAATGTCCAATTAAAAATAATATTGTTGTAGACTGTAGATATCGAATTGTAGTGTGTGCGATTCCAGTAGTTACCTGGGCAACGAACTCTACATTGTGATTGATGTAATTGTAAATACCTCCATGTATTAAAATTCCGACAAAAAAAACAAACTACCCAAAAATTCGAACAAATTGAAATAATTATTCATACAACTATAATCAATTTTTAAAATTTCAAAATAACTTTAGTTATAACATTTTCTTCAAATAGTTACGTCTGAATTATCACAAAAAATAACTAAAAACTTTATTTTTTTGAAGTATCTCTTGTACCGTAATTTGCTTCAATAGGTTTCTCTATTTTTTCCAATTTGTGCTATCCAAGGTCAATTTTCTTTTTATTTTCAACACCACCCTCTGGCAACATAGTCTCTAAAATTAATAGTAAGAAATTATATAGCGACTTTCTTGGTTGTTCTGAATAATTATTGTAAAAAATTAGTGAATTTCGTAACAATATTTGGAGTATATGAATAAACAATTTCTTATACCAACGCAAAGTTTTCCGAGAGCACGGATAATATGCGAGCATTTTGTCCTGACGGTCAATGCCGGATATATGTTTGTTATATTCATAAATGGCTGTAGGTTTCAACTTTGCTTGACCTCGTTTATTGGTGGTTTCCGTCATTGTATTACCAAATTCAGTAATTAAGTATAATACCTATCTTTTGTCCTTTCACTTGCCTACGTGAACTCCGTTGCGAAATACGGATTTATTCTATCCTTTTTGTAATCTTTTTTGTACAACAAGCACTGGATTATTTTTTCTATTTCTGTGTAATGTTTCTGAACAGTAGGTTCCTCTTGTAAGCAGTTTTCATTCCAATTCATAGCCATTATAAAACCTGTCCATAAATACCGAATGTCCAAGATTATATTTCTCCTCTAACAACTTCAATACCACTTTTTCTGTGTGATCAGTACTGCTGATTTCATCCCCTGCTTCACTGTAAACGATAAACTTGTGAACCAATCCATTAGGTTCTGTCAACATGTACAGTTTAATGCCATACTTATGACGTTTATTTTGTATATATTGCCGGAATATAAGTCTTCCTCTTCAAGAGATCATGGATTCATCTAAAGAAAGGAATTTACCTGGAGTGTGAATTGATTTCATTATGCTATTGAAATGATCCACTACAGGACGTATTTTGCGTAAACGATCTTGATTATTAATCATTTGGTGCAAAATGAAGCATCGCATAATTATTAAAAATCTGTGCTTGGACATGTACTTCGAAAAATTAGTTTTGAACAACCTGTGTGTGGACCAGTAGTCCGACAATCTTGGGAGCTGTATCATACCTAAAATAAATTGAAAAATTAGTATTGCATAACCATGCCATTTAAAAACTAAATGGTACCTGTTAACAATAATAATCCAATAAAAATTTTCAATTCTTTCACAGTCAGCTCCTTCCAGGAGGTAATACAAGACTTCTGTTTTATGTTTTCAGAGAGAAATCGGAATGTTACTGTCGAGGTTTGGCAAGAATGCCGAAATTCAAATTTTTGTAGTTCTTCTATATCTACCCACGTAGGAGAATTTCTACCAGAAGCAGTAGCACCGGGCATTTCAACTTGTGGAGTTGTTTGATTTGCTAATTCTTCTGTCAAATGTTTCAATTTATAATCGTCATCAGTACACCACTCATCACCGTTGTCTGAATATTCTTCACCACTGGATCCTTCAGACATATATTTATCCTCCTCTTCAGGTTCTAAAATATGTAGCAATTCATCATCTTTTAGAGTACGCTTGCGCTCATATTTTGATAATTTTTGAGAATGCCTCATTCTTTTTTTATTTACACCGGACGGTCCTGCTTCATTACCACTAGAAGATCTCCCTGCACTACTCCTTGTCTTTACGATTTTAAGTAACAATAATATAACGAAAAATGTCAACAACAACGTTATTGAAAACAATTACACTACTTAAACACAAAAAACTGACATTTGTCTGTTTACATTATGACTTAAAGCACATAAGTTTGGTAGTTAGGGTGCCAAAAGCCAACTGACATGATATCGTTCTCTAAGCATTTTCTGTCAGTAACCAGCATTACAGATGTTTAGTATATTGTTCATTTAACATGCCTACCAAATTTTATTCTATTTGGAATATTGCCGGCGTTACATTGATAGCATATGTTTACTATGACCGCGCTACACCCATGGGTGTATGTGGCAACTCTACAAAACCTTAAAATACACCCATGGGTGTAGTTGGCAATGAACATGTTAACGAATTAACACATTCAGTCCAGGTGTTATAATTTTTTGTCTTGTCCATTGGACATATTTTTTTGTAAATAAGACGGGAGTCGTGCATTCATTTCCGCATTTCTGATTTATTTAAAAAAAAATGCCAAAAGGTAATTGTATGAGTGTAAAATAAAATAATTGTATGAGTGTAAAATAAAATATTAAATTACCTACACGAATTTTTTCGATGGGTAACATAGGGTAACGGTTACAGTTGTTTAAACCCCCTCTGTGGCTCAGTGGTAAGAGCGCCTGCCTTTAATATAAAGGTCGTGAGTTCGAATCCCACCTGGGTGGAAATTTTCGTTTATTAAAAAAAAATTAATAAATAAAAATAATTTCTATCCTTGTGTGATCGGTACACACCGGAGGGACCGCAGACGTTCGGATACAATTAGCGTCTCTTAGCAAAGACAATGACGTCGACTTTGCTAAGTATCAAGACAATTACTCTACACACACAATCACACACACACACACTACATTAATAAACTTATCTTGATTGAGACTGGCTGAATGACGATTGTCCAAGCCAAAACACACACAAAAAAAAAGTTACAGTTGTGGGCCGGTCACTAAGATTTTCAGGAACTATAAGGAAATAAATTTAATTTTTTATTTGGAGGAAGAGAATTGTTTAAAGCATTGGATCATAACATACAAAGACAAACGTTTTTCAGTAAGAGTAGAAGATAAACAAGACTCTGTTAAAGGTTTTCTTAGTGCAAATCCACGTGCCAATCCTTTTACTGACAATCAGCCAGGAAGAGGTTGGTGTAGATCCTTTTTAATGCGACAACTCAATTCAAGTGAGAAAATTCAGAAGCGGTGACGGCAGCAAGTTCCGTTGTGTCATAAAAAGATATAAAAAAATGGTTCACCGGTGTTCAAGAATACATCCATCGTAAAGATGATATGACATTGATATTCTTCACATTGAAGATCCTTCACGTGTTTTAAATGGCTATGCAACCTGCTTCCTCTTGTGTCCCAAAAATAAACGAGTGTTGGCTGTAAAGGGAAGCAAAATGCATATCAAATAGAGCATCACTCCAAAGATAATTTGACGGTTATGTTACCCTTTGCAGCATCTGGATAAATAATAGCACCAATAATTATTTACTCTTATAAACGAATTCCTAGCATTCTTCTTAATTCCGTTTCATGAGAATGGGGCATATGATGGAGTGATACAGGATGGATGAAAATAAAATCTTCTATAATACATACGAAACGTCTTATATATGTACCTTGTTGCGAAAAACTCTAAATTTCCAGTCGTTTTCTTTGTTGATAAACATAAAACTTGCTTAACCATTCAAACCAGTGAACAAAGTTACAAATTATTTTAGTGACATTATATCCCAATGCGACCAGAATTATACAAACTGCAGATATCGCTTCGTTTAAACCATTTAAGTAAAATTGAACCGGGCAGCACTAAAGTTTAGATAGAAAAACCCGAACTCAGTTGTTACCAAAGAAAATTTTGCATCGGTACTAAACACAACCATTAGTCAATTAAAATCAGATTCCATAATTAATGGCTTTAAAGCATCTGGATAGTATCCATAGAATCCTGAAGCAACAGACTATTCGAAATGTTAGGAAAGATCAAAGACCAGAATAAAGGTATTAATCACACTATTTCTATGACAAAATCAATAGCATATGAAGATTTTGTACACACAGTTAGAGCCGCAACAATATTAGAATTTCAAAGTTTGGATAATTGCAAAGAATTAATCTTTATTATATTTAATTGTTAATGAGTTAAACCAAGCACTTACCTCTCTATTTTTATGTGGTTGCAGCAAAGTATCTCCTACAGGCGACTCTTCTTCGTCACTCAACGTGGAACAAGTAGAGCAATTAGATGACTTCCTGTACGGTTGGCACAATACGTAATCACCATCTAAACCACTCAGAGTCGAACCGCAAAAATTTAAATTACTGCACGAACTATGTAGGCTCGAATCCGGGGATATCGAGTTATCCCTACGACTGCGAATATATTCGATATCTTCCAACGTTAGTCCCATAATGTCGTCCGAATAATCACTAACCACGACTGACGGGGTACGCCAGTACCGATACCGCGGTTGATCTTCCGCCCCTTCACTGAAAATAAAGAAAGAATTAATTTCTTTTATTTAAGCACAAACAAAAATCATATTTAAGCAGGCCAAACAATATTTCATCTAAGCTATTAAATATCTAGAGCTCACCGGCTAAGAAAAATTATCTTATTTCATATTTTTGTACAATCTTACTTAAAATAGTCCCCTTACAACAAAAGTGCATGTTGCCCTGAGAAAGCGATGGTAAAAATGGTTAAAACATTTTTTTTAACAATTTAGTCCAGTCATCAGAGAGTTAACCTCTAAAAATCATACGAACACTCTGAATTTTGCCGATAATATTAATTTTGGGGCCCTTAAAAAGATGCAAAAAAATTTTTACCACCTTTACCTTGTATGTGCACATACAGCTAGCACATACAAAACAGGACATGCAACTCCAAGTAAACAAAGTACAAGAAGAATCAAAGAAGGTTGGTCTAGAAATAAACATCAACAAAACCAAAGAGATGCGATTTGGTACCAGAAACAACCAACCTATTATGATCAACGACCAGAAAATTGAGAGAGTAGCGGAATTTGTATATCTGGGCAGCATAATTGACTGTAATAGGGGTACAGAGCGTGATGTATATGAAAGAATAAATAAGGCTCGCAACGTCTTCAACATGCTTAACAACACATGAAAATCCAGGATTTACCTAACTAAAACGAAATTAAAAATCTTCAACACAAATGTAAAAGCTGTATTACTGTATGCCTGCGAAACGTGGAAGATATCAGCATCCATAGTACACCAATTACAAGTTTTTATCAATAGAGCGTTACGAAAAATCCTTCGTATATTTTGGCCTAACCGAATCTCCAATGAAAATTTATGGAACCAAAGCAACCAAGAAAATGTCATAAAGCAAATAAGGCGAAGAAAATGGAGATGGCTGGGCCACACACTCCGTAGACCACCAAATGACATTGCCAGGACAGCGCTGGATTGGAATCCCCAAGTCCGACGGAAAGTAGGCAGACCTAAGGGAACTTGGAGAAGGACAGTACTGGACGAAGGGAGAAAAATGGGAAAATCCTGGCTTGAAATCAAAGCACTAGCCAGAAATAGAGTTCGCTGGAGACACTTTGTGGAAGCCCTATGTTCCTCTTAGGAATCTTGGGACTATATATACCCCCGGGCTTCCCCCTAAAACCTCCACGCAGGGAGGTAAAAACGAAACAAATACCGATTTACCAAAAATATACGTCGCAGAAAAAAATGTTTTAAATAAAAAATGTAGCTGGGATAAATTTAAATAAAAATGTTTATTACAACTTTTTGTGTAAAATGGTCCGTTCTCTAAGAAACAACACTTGAAGCGACCGTCGCTTTGAATATCAGTTACTCGTGGGAAATCAATGTTCAATAAAATTTGTATCAGCGCGACGGAAAAATGTTTATATCTTTTGATTTTAGTGTCCTATCGACAAAAATCAATATGCATTTTAAAGGTAAAAAGTGAAGCTTTTGTATACAGTTTTCGTATTTAGCTGAGAAGAAACTCAGTTTGTAAAAAAGTGTTAAATAAATTTTTCGTAAGATCAATAAAATTGATCACTTCCATTGACTAGTCGTAGTAAAATTTCCATTTTTATAGATTAATCTTTAAAACGTATGACATGAAATTTAAATTTTGAGTCGTGGCAACATATATGTGGCATTTGAAATATGAATAAAATACGCAGAATTTAATGTTTTACATTACAAACGATCGCACGTCACGAGCAATGCCTCCAAGAAGACGGTTTTGGTGTAGTTTATAGCAGAAGTTTCGTGATTTTGAAAAATTTACAAGTCTAATTAAAAAAAGGTTTTAAACGTTCTAGATAGTCTGTTATGTCATCGATACTTACTAAATCGACTTTTTTGCGTTTTTTACCCTCCTAATCCCGGGGGTAAATATAGTAAACGTTTTGAATCTTTTTTGGTGTCCCAAAATTAATATTCTCGGCAAAACTCAGCTGGTTCATATTATTTTTGAGGTTCAGTGGTGTTTTCGTCTCTGACGACTGGAGTAAATTTTTTTTTTGTCCGGAACAGGTTTTTTGGGGTAAATGGATCATTCTGAACAACAAAGGTCTGTAGTAACTTTTCTTTCAAATGCATCGTTTTCAAGTTATAAATAATTTAAGGCTAAAAAAACTTTAAAGCTTGTGTTTGACTCAGTAAGAAATGAATACTTTTAAGCTTAGCAGCCTTTAAACTTTACAATGTACTTTATAATCATAATTTACACTAAGAAATAGTGTCAACGTTAAGGTAATATTAAAAATAACATCTTTAATTATGATGATTGTAAAGAATGTTTTTTCATTACAGGAAGTTCTGATCAAGCCCAAAATTATGTGGCGAAAGCTTGACTTTTAATAAAAGACACTCACTTTGAAGCACCCGTTTTTTATTGCTTCCTTAGTATTGGGTCGTTCCCTGTTACCTTCAACTGTCTGTTATATATATATATATATATATATATATATATATATATATATATATATACATTATTTAAAGTTACAAAATAAATTACTTAAAACTTACCTAAAACAACTATGCCGACGACTTTCGTCGAACGTGTCAAAGTTATCCGAATTATTTTCGCTGATGACATCAACGCTAAACTTTCTATCCAGCGGAAGAGGAACGTAATGAGCTTCGATTATCGTCTTACTTGGAACATTGGAATGGTCTACGGAACATCGAGGACTGTAAGGGCTTCTTGGCTGGTATCCTGAAATAAACAAAACAAAACAATTAAAATACTAGTTTAACATTGTATTTAGAGAGTTTTTTTAATAGTTGTAGCCAGAAAACGTACCAGCAGAAATATGGTTAAATATCCGTAAAAGAATACACAAAATATTGAAATATTGATAAATAATGTTGTTGCCGAGAATAGAACTCGTGCACTCTGGCTTAAACTTGCCGTTGAGCTAGGGCCGTCCACATTTTGAAAGTTTTCTTTATCTCCTTCCTACTTACCACCAGTTGGTGCATAAATATGTATTAAATTTAGTTCCAACCGGTTGTCATCAATTGCAGAAATATCATTCTTTCGGATATCAGAATGAAACTCGTTATTGATATTATTATCTCTTCGCTATATCGGTGACTTCATATATATGTTGCGTGTCTGTATTTCCCTAATAAAAAATAATTCCTACTTTATATTGCATTCTTCAGAGTTTGTCCATTCTGTGTTACTTGGAAGCTCCATATCATTTGTACCGAAAATATGATTGAGAAGCTTGTCGATGGACATTTTATCGGTGACTCAATAACATCAAACCCATCGGATACGCCGATGACTGGGCCCTCACTACACAATGCCGAACGCTAGAAACATCTGAAGAAGTTCTGACGGCAGACTTATATATATTGAGCAAATATTTTCGCAAGTGGCGGCTTCAACCAAATGCATCCAAAACAGAAGTAAGTTGCTTTCACCTGAACAATAAACTTGCTGGAAAGGAACTTAACATACGGTTTGAAAATACCACACTTTCCCACAACAAAACACCGAAGTACCTGGGCGTAACACTAGACAGAACGCTATCATTTAAAGAGCATTTAACAAAAACTGCCCAAAAGTTGAGTACCAGAAATAACATTATACAGAAGCTCTGCGGTACCACCTGGGGAGCATCGGCTTCCACTCTCCGCTCTACTGCTTTAGCCCTTGTTTTCTCGACCGCTGAATATTGTGCTCCAGTTTGGCTACACAGTCCACACGTAAAAAAGGTCGACACTCAGCTGCACAGCACTATGAGGATGATATCTGGTACAATTAAATCAACTCCCACCCAATGGCTTCCAGTATTAAGTCACATTCCACCTCCACATTTACGACGAGTTGACGCACTTACACGTGAATACAAAAAGATCATGAACAATATAAACCTGCCGATCCACCAAGATACCGAGGATGCACGAAATACCCGTCTACGTTCTAGAAAACCACCAATGAAAACGGCAAGAATGATACATGAGGAGTTCAACATCACGAATGCATGGTCCCAAGAATGGAATGCATGGCAAAATAACATGCCCTGTATTACCCACAAGCCACCAGGTTTTGATCTTCCACGTAAAACATGGTCCACTCTAAACAGGATCCGAACCAGACATGGCAGATGTGCATACATGCTACATAAATGGGGAAAGAATCCGTCTCCTCAATGTGACTGTGGGAAGGACCAAACGATCGACCACATTATTGAAGAGTGTCCCTCAAGATCTTATAACGGTAGCCCTGAAGACTTCCTGTTTGCAACTTCAGAGTCAATTGATTATGTTAATACACTTGATGTTTGTTTGTAATTATTTAAAGTTTGTCATATACCTATATTACTAGTGTTTGTAATTTTGTTCTAAATGTGTTGTAATTGCCATACGATAAATAAATAAAACATCAAACCATTTGCCTCTTGTAAGAAAAACTGATCTGATCACTCGTCCGCCCGCAGAACCATAATTCACAGACAAAATATCTTAGAGATAATTTGGTACCTCTTGTAAGTATTCTGGTACTAATCTATTAGATGAGATCTATCCTCCTTGTTCTGTATAGATTCAAACTTATTTCCAAAGAATATGATAATACCAACAGATAAAACAGATTAACCAATTGTGTCAAAAAAACAACAAAACGTAAACTAAAGGTCGCAGGGAAAACACGTTAACGATATATCTGTTAAGAAACAGTAACTAAGATTAAAACGAGAGCTGATAAAAAAAGAACAAAACAAATCTTGAATTTAAGTTTACTCTTTTTTTCTTATTGTGCCGTCTGCTTTCAAGGTTACTTTGAAAACTGATGCGCCACAGAATTCTGCGAATGACCAGTCAAACCATCTCCTTAGATCCTTCAACGATACGTTCTGGCTTCCTACTGATCTTTTGTCCTGTACTTAACCTTTTAATATGGTTTGCAGTAATTTATGTATTTTACTCAACACATGATTTAAGTATTTTCCTCTCTTGGATCGTACGTAACAGTCCTTTTTGCTTACTCATGCGCCGAAGTAATGCAGGATGTAATGGGATAGTAAAGCATAACATATAGCCACTCCCATTCAAATGTCAACCTCACCTGCTCGTATGATGATCTAGATCATGGTCTTCCGGTACATCCTGCTAGATAACTAACGAGGCTCTAATGTCCGAGTGTTTGCCGGGATAAGCAATCCACTATTTACTGGCCAACGGCTTAGTGTATATGAGTTAGTACGTGGAAGGACACTCTGTTGTCCTGAGACTGAGAAATTGGTCTCGAAGGCGGAAGAACCAAAAAAGTAGTTAACGGCATCAGAATGCAGAAGGCAAAGAGAAACCACTGCATTAAGGCCAAGGCCTCCTCGGTCGTCAACATGCGAAACCCTTGCACAAAAAACTAAAAAAAAAATACTCAACCGTCTCAGATAAAAATAGCTACCTGGCATGTAAGAAGTACGTATCACCCTGGAAAACTACATTATGTTATTACAGGGAAAGAGAGGCTAAATATAGATATACTTGGGGTTAGCGATGTACAATGATCAAGAAATGGTGAGATATAAATAAATAACCACAATATTTATATTCCGGAGGAGACAAAACTGATCATCCATACAGAGTAGCTTTCATTATAAGCAACACTATTAGAAAATCCGTGCTAGGTGTAATTCGAATCTTAGAAAAAATAATAATGCTATAAATTCAAGCACGAAACTGTAATATTAATATGATCCAAGTCTACGGCTCCCACAGCTGATAAGACCGAAGGGGAGATCGAAAAGTTTTATTCAGAATTGCACAATACAATCAAGTTAACAAAATCTAGAGATATTACTTACATTTTAGGAGACTTTAATGCAAAAATTGGATCAGCTACAGTTGTAAATATAGTTGGACAGTTCGGATGAGGAACTAGAAACGAGAGAGGAGAAAGGCTCATTGAATTCTGCCAAGAAAAGAATATGGTAATTGTCAATACTTGGTTTCAGCTTCTTAAGAGAAGACTATATACATGGACGTCTCCTTCATATACAGAAAACCACATTGTCAGAAACCGTTAGTTGTTGACGTGAAAATGAAATTAAAAATAATTGAACTCGAAAAACAGCAACCAAAAATTAATGTAAAAATGCTTAAAAACGAAAAAATAAAAAACGAATTAAAAAATAATGTGAATGTTAATATGCAAAAAATACTAACACTTGACAACAAACAAATTATGGATGTAAATAAAAAGTGGTAAGTATAATATAAACGCATTACTGAAAGCAGCTCAAGAAAGTTTGATACAACATAGGTCAGAGGCTAAAAAACAGTGGATGTCAGAAGAAATACTATTACAGATTGAAGGAAGAAGGAAATATAAAGGAAAATATATACAGAAGTATAAAGAAATACAACGAATAATTAAGGAAAAAATCAAAACAGCTAAGGAAATCTATTTGATGAAACAATGTAAAGTTATAGAAAAACTAGAAACAAAATATGATATGAGAAATATGCACAACAAAATCAGAGAAGTGACTGGAATGGGTCGAAATAGACAGCAAGGACACATAAAAGACAAAAAAGGAGTACTACTAATATATTTACAAGAGAAATTAAGACGATGGGAGGAGTACGTTAGAGAACTTTCCCAAGATGAAAGAGGTGAAATGCAGAAAATACAAAAGTTAAATCCTTTAGAGAGACAGAAGATCACGATAGATGAAATCAAATATGCTATCAAAGACTCTAAAGACAATAAGGCAGCTGGATTAGATGAAATACCAGTAGAACTGTTAAAACTAGTGGAAGAGGATAAGTTGGAAGTATTAGCAGATTTATTCAATTCGGTGTACGATACGGGAATAATACCACAAGAGTGGCTAAAGTTAGCACTTATAACGATCCCTAAAACACAAGCAGCAAAAGAGTGCTAATTATCGAACACTAAGCCTCATGAGTCATACTTTAAAAGTACTGCTTAAAGTAATACATAAGAGAATATACGAAAGGCTAGGGGAGGATATTAGCGAGACGCAGTTCGAGTTCCAAAATTAAATGGGTACTCGAGAAGGACTATTTGATTTAGCATATTGATTCAGCGATGTCGGGATGTGAACGTTGATCTACACTTGTGCTTTGTTGACTACGAAAAAGCTTTCGATAAAGTAAGATATAAAAAACTAATATCAATTATGACCATTATGATTGCCAACCTCTGTAGGAAGACGGCACTCTAAGAAGAAGAAGTGTCGAAGTACTATTTTTTTTTTCTGGTTCAGACTCCATTGTCCAATTTTCACACCAATAGAGCAAGAGCAAACTCAAGCTCGAGAAACGTAACATCTGATCATTCGGATACTGAACTCCAGACTATAAGGTCTAGTCTTGTAAAAAATGTATTCATGTTTATCAGTGTTTTCCTCGCTTATTCAATTTTTGAAAGAATTTCTTTCTTTGGGTTACATCGGCTGCTGATATTTTTCCAATATTTTATGAAAGTTACCTGTTGTATTATTTGTTCCTTGGCATACAAATGTGCTTTAATTGATAAGTTTGAAAATACTTTAAAATTATTGAAGTTTATTACTCTTGTACAAAAATGGTCATATTTCAACAAATTACTTAGTTTTAATTGGCAGATAGGTAAATTAATACGAATTTACTCTTTATAAGTTATGTAGACAAATTCGTTGTCAAAACGGATATTATATAAAATTAGATACCAAGAAAAATGTGTATTATCCAAAA